CGCCATAATGTCTCCAATTGCTGCATCGCCTTCTAAAGGCTACAAGTCGGAATCTACATTGGCTAGATTGTTGGGCTCAGGTTAGTTTCTTCGAATTAGTTTAGATACGAGCAATTACTTACACTATTCGTAGGATCTGCCGGTATTGCTGAGCTTGCTGTCTTTCATCCTGTATAGACACACCATGAACTCTCATTGAAAAGGAACTTACTGACCCATCAAAGGTCGACACAATCGCAAAGAGATTGATGAGCAATCAAGGATCGGTACAACTCCCCGTTAATACACTTTTCTATCACGCCATGCTAATGACTTGCACCGCAGACCAAGGGCAAATTGGCAGAAGTTATCTTCAAGGACAAGGCAACGGCATCTGTCGGCACCAAATTCTTTTCTCTCTTCCCGGGTCTAGGATACGCTGCAGGATACAAGGTCCTACAAAGAGTCTACAAGTATGGTGGACAACCATTTGTTCGCGATTATCTTACTACACACCACGGTAGTACATTCGAAAACACATTTGGCAAAAAGACTGGAAAGGCGATGATGAGTTCAGTAGCAGGAAGTCTTGTTGGAATTGGAGAGATTGTCCTCCTTCCCCTTGATGTTCTCAAGATCAAGCGTCAGACAAACCCTGAGGCTTTCAGAGGACGAGGAGTCGTCAGAATCGTTAGAGATGAAGGGTTTGGATTATACAGAGGCTGGCAATGGACTGCTGCGAGAAATGCACCAGGATCCTTCGCTGTGAGTTCCCCTCCTCTTCTTCCCTTGAACAGCTGCTAATATGTTTCAAAGCTCTTCGGAGGATCTGCCTTTGCTAAGGGGTACCTTTTCAATTTGAACGATTACAACAAGGCCACCTGGTTCCAGAACTTCGTGGCTTCTATCGCCGGTGCCTCTGCATCTCTTGTCGTCTCCGCACCTCTCGATGTTATCAAGACTCGTATTCAAAACCGTAACTTTGAGAATCCAGAAAGTGGTTTCAGAATTGTGTCAAGCATGATGAAGAATGAGGGCATGACTAGTTTCTTCAAAGGTTTAACACCAAAGGTATGCTAGTCCCTCGCTCATTGTTAAGTTACAACACTAACTTCTTATAGCTATTGATGACTGGACCAAAATTGGTGTTCTCTTTCTGGCTTGCACAAACTTTAATCCCTGCTTTTGATATCGCTCTTTCCAAATAGAATGTTCGTGCGCAATCGTAATGTAATAATACCAAGACGGATGGGATGGAAAACTGGCGTTTAATGATATAAAACGATATATTGTACCTCCTTGTAGATAGCTGGGAGTCGATATATGGGAGGGCAAATCACTCGACTCAAATGGACAATGACAATGACAATGACAAAAGGAATAGATACCAAAATTATTGCTATTACGTGTTTTGCTATGCATTCACTGCGTGACTTGATTACTCCGGCTCTTGGGCATTCTATATCATACCTACCCAGCAGTATTTCGCGAGTGATGTTGAGATTTAGAATTTAATCAGCCTCCCACTTATCATTGTCTGACAAGCTTTCTTCTACGGGTTCTTCTCTCGTATACTTTATACTTCATCATTCATTACCCCTCCATGAAGGAGCTATGGCATCTCGGCAATAATTAGCCGGGAATTTCTGTATCCACAAATTTCAACTTATTTAACCATCAATTTTCCACAAACACAAATCTTCCATGAAAAAGTTGTAATTATTTACACGTGAAAGAAGAATCATCATGCCTACTCCAACATATCTCATATCTAGAGTTGGTGATCCAATCTTTGCCCTATTTATTGGGGTAGGGGCAACGGTGACTCGTATCAACAGGGAGGAAAAGGAACAAGGGCGCACCACTCAGCAAACAATCGATTCTGCATTCAGGTGCGTAGTTTAAAAGACCATCCCCGTTGAGCGTTTAATAACACGGCATATAGAAGAATCGGCTTTCCTCGTTCGAATGACCCTTTGGCGAAGAAGAATTAAGAGTTGTGGAAGGAGCCCTCGATTGGTCGATATGCACAAAATACTTCAAGGAAGGTGCATGTCATGCTCTATATCTTAAGACTTTCTTTCCATTTAAATAAATATTCATCATACAACAACAAGTATTTCACCAACTTGCATTCCTGGAATAGCAGTAGTGCAACTGTCAGCACTTTAATCTCACTCCACCTTCTATCCTCCACGCAGTTTCTTTGCATTGGATAGTGAAAGACTTTTACAATATTCATACAATCTTGATCTCTGAACGCTTCAATGGCAGAAGGCAGCGAAGATTCTTACTTGTACATGAAAAGCCATTCAAAGGCCAACCATGTATTCGTCAATGGAGAAGCCGTTTCTGGCAAATCACCATCTACCTGTGTTCCAAAGAAGCTCAGCGCGGATACTCGGACCATACCTGCTTCGCCTTCGCATAAGCCTCACCGTCAAAACAGCAACGTGGTGGCTGGACATGGCGGATCTTCTAATGTCACAAAATCTGTGGACGCTCCCACCGTTGGACCGACCAATCATGATGATTGTATGGCTTTTGATCTTTATGAGCAAGATCCCGACATGGTCTACGGATCCTCGGATTACAACCTTCGAAGACAGTCATCGGATTACCGATTTAACTTTGAAGATATGATTGTGTTGCCGATGAGACTCAAGAAACCATCCACTGCAATTGACTTCGATACACCTTCTTTCACAGACATCGATGAGTTCGACTATGCAGATCAGCACGTCTATTATAGTCAACTTATCACTACTGTTAACTCGAACTCGGCGGTACACGAATACGCTGTACGCAAAGGACCTCTTTGGAACTGTGCCTGGGAAATTCTTGTGCCAAAAGGTCTTCATCCAACCTATCTTACAGAGGATGAATTTGTAAAGTTGGTGTTAAGTCAGGGCAACGATACGACCAAGTGGATGGATGCCAACATTCCAATTCTACATAGAAGAGCACTTCAAAAAGCTGGTGCTGCACGTCAAAAGCTTTCCAGCGCGGGGATTTCTCCTTTTGAGTTAACTCAAGAGTATCTGGAGTCTTTTGAATGGATGGATAAGATTGAGCAAGATTATTTTATCAAGACTTTCCAGAAGCTGCAGTTACAAGTTTCCTTTCAGAAACAAGGTATTTCAATGAGAATTGAAGATATCGACAGTATTCCTTCTGAGGATGAGGAGAAGCTCATTGGGAAATCACATACGAAGCTGGTTGATGGGTCTTGCATTCAACGAGACTGTTCCTCCGACGTCGACGACTCGTTTATGGTTGAAAAACTTAGCCTTGAAGAATTTGAGAACCAGTTCTGGAATGATGATTACAAGAAGGCTTCTCCGTCGTCCAAGAAGGCTCCTGCTCCGTTTCGCAGCATGCCAATTCCACAAACACATCAATCTCCAACTGCCCCCAACCTTCACGATGAAGCAATTTCTTTGGAGTGCCTGAAGAACATTTTACATTCCCAGGGTATTGAACCTGGACCATCCTCTCCACTTCTCAAATCTGGTGAAGGCTCCGACGACTTCAAGAGTAGTCAAAAGACTAAGAATACCCATAACACTGATAAAGTTTGCAGGAGCCAATCTCCATTTCCACCACTCGAAGCTGCCAAGAGCTATCCTTACAAAGGTTCTCATGCTCTTCCACCAAAGAATCCTGATTCTCGAGTTCTCTTCTCTCTCCAAGATCCTCCTTCTCTGACTCCTCTCAAAACTACACAATCTGAATTTGGTCGCCTTGAATCCTCGAGTTCTTCAAGCCATGATCCCAGTGATGGCGGTAGTAGTACCCCGAGTTCCAAATCACAATCACGCAAGTCTGAAGCTAGTTCTGTCGGTGGAGTCCCTCTTACGGGTACTATCAGTGGTGGCAGTGCCTCGCAAAGCCAACAATCATGCAAGACAGAAGGAAGCCGTGCAAGTGGAGCTAGTGAGAAATTCGCCAGTATTGGCAAGAGAATCGAGGGTTCCCCCAAAGCTCTCAAGAAGAAGTTGAGTTCGGTTTTCGGAACGATTGGAAGATCCGGAAGATCGGGTACGCAGTGAGAAGAGACTGCTTGGGTGTTGAAGATGTTGTTGCTACTAATTGCTCATACTGAGGCATTGTTTATTACTCGAGAACAAACTATTGGGACGGAAAGATCGCCTATTGTGCACAAGACATGTGAGGTGCTTGTTTGATGGAGAATTCACAACGAAAGAAACATGGTTAAGGAGGGGTATCACAGGGCTCTATTATCAACTAATATTGTTAGCGTTCGGATCGAGTATCGAATTATGGTCGTCAAATTGCTTGAAGTCATTACCAAGCTCTCTGGGTTTACGGAGAGATAATTGCACATTCATTAGAGGTCAAATTATTAGTATAGGACAGAGAGATAGTCAGAATTACAAGAGATCAATCACAAACCAAATGACATCATCAATGGGTGCTGGAATTCATGAAGGGCCTCCACTCTCTTAAACTTTACGATTGAATACAAGCATGTTCAATCACTCCTCAAATCATAGTATTGTTGACACGGCAGAAACTCTGTAAATCACGAATCTAACGACTTCACGTGTACTTAGCACATTGTGAAGCCATGTATGTGTTGGCAGAAAGCATCGTATCATATTGTCCCTATTCCCAATAAACCCCTCCCACTAAAAGCATGAAACAAGGAAAGGATAACAACCCCTATGAATAATTCACAACATCGAAATCCGAAATTTCCAGGTCAGAAAAGCATACACAGCTGTTCCATTATCCCATGTACAGATAATCAGTCTTTTCTTGCTAATCTCCTTTGCTGCGAACCGTAAGGGAGGCGCTCAGGACGATCGAAGAGGTAGATGAGAAATGGTCGGTCGGCACGCTCCAAGGTTCCAAGGGGGGAAAACTTGGAAGTCGACGAGTAAAAAAGAAAAACTGCCCTAGGTTGTAATGTAGTCACACGACCCTGCCTATCCATCACCGCCTCGCCTTATAAACGCCTATGATGAGATGTATTGAAGAGTCTAAGGAAGCGGGATTTAGTTGGCTTCTTCTAAAGCTTCACCGAAGGTGTTTTCGCCCGAGTATGAGATGTAGAGGAATCTATTTCGTAGTGAAGTTAGCAACTGTATCATAGAATCATTTGATATTTCTTTGTTCATTCATGAATATTACTTTGTGTTGGAAGCGATTTGGTTGAATCGCGATCATCACGATAACGGTGACGATAGAGCGGTATGACGTTATGAAAAGTAGATAATGGAGAACATACCCATCCTCATCCTTGTGTTCCTCATAGATGGAGCTCATCAAAGCGGCAGTGGGCGGTAAGACCTCATCGACGAAAATGAAGATGGCCTTTTCTGGGGAAAGCTTGATACGCTTGCGGATAACGTATACAAATTGACCGACGGTGAGATCGCTGGGAACGAGATACTTCTTCTTGTCGATCGTGGCGATGTCGGATTTCTCGACCTTCTCGCAGATGACGGGGATACGGTCGGAGTATTTTTGACGCTGGATATCAAAGTTAGTTGGGTTGAAAGGAGTGACATAAGTCGGGTTGAGGGTTTGAGGGATTGGGGGATGCGATCGTGATAGTGGGGGAAAGGAGGTAATGGTTAGGAGGTTGGAATGCGACTTACGATGCGTTCAGCTTCAGCCTTGCGCTTCTCGAATGGGTGCTCGTCCTTAAACTTGGATCGCATTTTGAAATAAGTTATTCGATGTTTTGTTGGTTAAGAGTTGTTGGATTAATGTTGAAGGTAGATAGATTTGAAGGTGTTTGATTTGATGTTGTATGTGTTGTGGTGTTGTGATGTTGTGATGTTGGTGTACGGAGTAATGGAGGATGATGGAGGGGAAAGGTAGTGTGAAGGAGTAGGTAGGGAGGGAGTTGTAATAGAGAGACTAAATAAAGTATTATTAAAGGCTATTAAAGCCTGCCTGAGTGCAGGTGGCTAAGTAGCGTAAGCGGTGAGTGAGTGAGTGATTGATTGTGAATCACACTTCTTGCCCAGCGATAAGTAAATTGGACGGGTTATGCTGATACGGATGCTTATTATTATGATACGGTGACTTGCAGGTGTGGTTTTATGAGAAGATTACGGTAGAATATAGATTTATTATGTGATTATTGACTCGATATTACGGTAAATAGGGAGCTAGGAAGGCATGTAATAGAACAATAGCAGCTGACGATGGGTGAGACGATGAATGACATGCCTGTTTCGGATTACTCCCAAGGGCACATGATTCATAAATATACTCATATACTCATATACTCACATACTCATATACTCACATACTCACTCATACAATCATACAAGTGATCATTCTTTTCATTCATTCTCCCTTTTCTTTGTCATGCGGTTTCTCTTTGACCGTCGTTCTCATCTCATCCAACATATCCGATGCTGGGACTAAACCCCAGACAGCAACCCCACTCGAGATAGAGGCAAAGAGGCGGCTAGAGATGGAGTCAAGAAGGTCGCGGGGATCCTGTTGGAGGAAGGACCTTGACATCCTTACCAGGAGAACATCCCAATAGTTGGTGTCAACTGATCTCCTATCATTGAAGCAGCACTCTGTAGTAAGTTACCCAGGTATACATAGTAATAATCTATTATCTCTTACCTGGCGAGCCTGAGTATATGTATCTCGCACCTTGACTTTCTCTCGCTCTCTCCATGATCTTTAACTTATGATAATAAGTACCTGGTAACCTTACGAATCTATGTACTAAATCATCCAACAAAGTCCTCCGTAAATACCGCAATAAGTCTTCTAGGTAGGTTTTCAAAGTCTTGTTCTACTCAGCACCGGTAAATCCTGACCAAAATCTTCCGATGATGGCCAGTGCTTGCTTCCCTTTCTAAAAGTTGACCATTCATCGCCGTCATGATCATGAAAATCGTACCACGGCAAAGAGCGAACATTATATCGATAAGTCTAGTTCTTTAAATCACACCCAGACAGTCACTTTCACAACAACATCTCCTTATTTGTGGCATGTTTCTTATATTATAGGGCACAAATCTTCTTCAATTCTAAGCTGACCATTTCCTTTCCTTTCCTTTCACAATGTCTCTTCCCATAAGAAGAGCTCGATTCTCGAGCTTGGGAAGAACTTCTTTCTCTAGACAATCTTTACCTTTATATCCTCGGAGAACTTTTGCAGATCACCAAAAGCCTCCTAGACCAGGCTCTGGGCGACCTACTGTTTGGGCACCAAAGACTAGAATTGCTGTTGGCGTGGTCTTTATTGGTGCTTTAATTTACAACATGGTATGGAGCGTGCGATCAAGAATTATGCTTCGGGCTTCACTTACACCTTAGTAGGCAACAGAAGAACCGGCCAAGTTGGATGCCCCTACCATTGCAGAACGGGATACTCTCGCTAAACGTGAATCTGGGGTTACGGAGAACTCACCCATGCGATTGCGAATGGAAGAATTTATTAAACAACAGCAAAAGGAAATCGTACATGAATTAGAACAGGTCGATGGCAAGAAGTTTCGAGTTGATACATGGACCAGGGAGCATGGCGGAGGTGGGATCTCCTGTGTATTGCAAGACGGCAATGTATTTGAGAAGGCAGGAGTAAATATCAGTGTGGTATATGGAACATTACCTCGACCGGCAATTGAGAAAATGCGAGCCAACCACAAGTCTATCGACCCTGATGTTCAATCCCTCGACTTTTTTGCTGCAGGATTAAGCATGGTCCTCCACCCAGTCAATCCAATGGCGCCGACTGTCCATCTCAACTACCGTTATTTCGAAACCGAAAATCCCGATGGTTCACCTGCCGCATGGTGGTTCGGTGGTGGAACGGATCTTACACCTAGTTACTTATTCGACGAAGATGCAATTCATTTTCATAAGACAATTAAAGAAGCATGCGACAGTCATGACAAAGAATACTATCCACGATTCAAGAAATGGTGTGACAATTATTTCTCCAACAAACATAGAGGGGAAACACGGGGTGTTGGAGGAATTTTCTTCGATGATTTAGAAGAAGGAAAGGATCAAGAAAACTTGTTTGCATTTGCGCAAAGCTGTTTGAAAGCTTTCCTTCCTTCATATCTCCCGATTATCAATAAGAGGAAGGATATGCCATACACCGAGAAAGAAAAGGAATGGCAACAAATTAGGAGGGGTCGATATGTAGAATTCAACCTGGTACATGATAGAGGTACAGCTTTCGGTTTGAATACACCAAGTGCGAGGGTGGAAAGTATCTTGATGAGTTTACCTTTGACGGCTAGTTGGAGATATATGTATGAGCCGGAGAAGGGAAGTAGAGAACAGAGATTGGTGGATGTTTTGAGAGAACCTAGGGAATGGGTTTAAATGTTAGATGTGGGAATAGAAATAGTCGATTGATTACGCTTTTGCTGTATATATGAATTAGAAATGTATGTATGATATAAATAAAAGAACTGAATAAAAGAAAGATGTCAGTGAGGTCTAAAATAATGGGTTTGTAGCATCCATACCCAGTACTTTTAGGCAACCGAACGAGCAAGCGAGCTTGGTTCCACCCCTCCTTTTATATTCTATCCAATCTTATCCATTGCATATCGAACAGACTTCAACATCTTATCTTATCATCACTTTGATCTTCAACTCTTGTGGGAATATCTGATTTCTGTTTAAACGGAAAAAACTCCATGTATTCAATTCTATTTCCTTTCTATCATAGAGTTTGTATCCTATTTCCTCGACTCTCAAAAGGCATTGATGAAAAAAATCTCATATCATTCATTCCCATCTCATCACAATGTCCACCAGTCACGCTGTTCCTCTACCTCCATCCCGTGATTTCATGACTTCTCTCTTCAACAGTCTTACTTCTCCTCCTCTTCCTTCTTCTTCAACACACAACTCAAATCCAATTTCAAATAATACAGATTCAAACACAAATACAACATCAGCTTCCCTCTCAAACCCACAGAGAATTTTAAAGGAAAATGAAAGGGATAATAGAAATGGAAATGGAAATCAAAATCCTTTAAAACAGATGAACGTGCAGAAAAAAGCATTGTTGATGACGCTTCATGTTATTTTTCCGCCGCCATTGCTATTGCATGCGTTGGATTTATTGGATAGAGGGGGAGTGGGGAGGATAGTTTTGAGAGGGGAGGGGGATGTAGGAGAGGGGGTTGGTACTGGGGAAGATATGAGGGATAGGATGGATGGAGAGAGGAAAGGCATTGGGGGGAATTCTAGTGGCGCAGGAGAGAAAGATCTAGAGCGTGGCGAGAGTGTAGGAGTTGACAATACAAGAGTAGGAGAGCTGACGATCGATGCTCAGGAAGCCAAAATCTCTCTATTCACATCCCCATCCGCATCCACTTCCCCAAACAAGAATTATTCTCTTCTCCCTCTCTCTCCTTCCCATCCCATCCCAAACCCCCCCTCTCCCCCCAAAACAAAGCCACCAACACTCTACCAAGTACGTTCTTCTCAGCCCTCAAAATGGCATTCTTCACGCTCCGCATCTACATCTACATTCGGAACAGGAACATCACACACAACTACAGAAAATACATACACCGTACATCTCAACGCCTGGAACTGTAGTTGTGCCGCTTTTGCATATTCGGCTTTTCCTGCTTTTCCTGCTTCTTCTTCTTCTTCTTCTTCTTCTTCTACTACTACTACTACTACTTCCTCTACTACTAATCCCTATCCATATCCCCATCCATACATTCCCACTTCTACTTCTGCCTCATCTACTTCTTATTTCCCATGGGACGTGCAGCGCCGCTCTCCAGAAAATCAATATCCGAATTCAACCTCAATCTCAATAGCAGAGGAAAAAGAAAATTGGCAATACGGAGGCTGGACAAAATCATCTCAAGTACCGATTTGTAAACATTTGTTGGCGTGCTTGTTGGTGGAGAGGTGGGGGGATGTGCTAGGGATGTATGTACGAGAGAGGGTTGTGGGGAGGGAGGAGATGGCTGGGTTGGTTGTTTGAGGGGGGAGATTGGGGTGGGAGATGGGTTATGAGAGGAGGAGAGACGTTAGGAGAGGGGGAGATGTAGTGGAAATATGGCGGGGAAGAGAATAGTGGACGAGGGATGTGTCGCCTATGGTCAGGATTGGAGTGTCGGTTGGCGCATGGGAGTCGGAAATGCTCAAAATGAGTGTGTGAATCCGAACACTAGAATCAAAGATATGGTAGAAAGTCCGGTTGCTCCTGGATTCGAAAAAGAGCCTCAATGAAGAGCGCATGCAGAGCGCTAAAATCACATCGAGAACTTTCCACGGCTGCTATTATTCGCAAGCTACGCATTTATGATACAATGACATATCAATTCTCACGCTTATCTCAAATGTCCTATGTCATGCCCCAGTCTGAATGCTCATAAACACCCAAAGATATTCACCAAGTCCCCAATTGTTCATCATCACTTCTTCTTTTCCTTATCCTCTTTCTCCTTTTCCGCTTCCTTGCCCTCCTTAGCATCTCCATTTACACCATTAGTTCCTTCAGTCTTCTTGTCCTTCTCATCTTTGGCTTCATCCTTCTTGGCATCTTTCTCTTCTTGCTGTTGTCTATTTTGTATTTTGTTTTCGATGAGGTCGTGGAAGGCGGTGATGGCACGGATCAAACTACTCAAGTAGATAGCCATCAATTGATCGTTGGTCTTTATGCTCATAGCATGTGCCAGTTCGCTGTTGTTTTCAACAGGTGCATCGGCGCCATTAGGAATGTGAGAAGAGGCTTTGGGTGTAGATAAATTAGGGAGGAGGTTAAAAACATCTTGAAGGTTGCCTAGAATGGCGTGGTTGACTGGTAAAGTTCCATCGAGGACATTTTGTAAATATTGACCAATATCTCGTAATCGTGCGTGCAGTCCTTGCAATGATTGTACTTGGCTTGTGATTCGTGTTGAAAGTGTACCAACCGCCACATCTCTAATATCTCTAAGTAAATGTTCAACTCCGATTTCTTCAGCCTCCTCAGCCTCGATGATCGTTGGTGTATGTACGAAAGTCTTGGAAGTAGTTGTGCCGTCCTTGAAGGATGTTAGAGCTTGACCAAATGCAGTTTTACAAGATAATGAACTTACATCTTTAATCTCCTCTACCGCAAAGTAGGCATCTGTTGGTACGCCACTGTCCGTTGGTTGACAATTGATAATCACAAGTAATGGGTTGGGTGTATATCTTTTGAACAACTCATTGACCTCCAAATCTGAAGCTCTTAGCTTAGGCCCAGAATGGTACCATCCTATCAGCTTCTCTTTTGCATTGATCTTCTTGAACATATCATTCATCGATTCGACGTAATTGTGATCCAAAAACCATACTGATGGATCTTTCTCATCTTCTTCGAATGGAACTATTTGAGATTGCCATTAGTATGCTATAAAACATCGAACCAAGCTCAAATGAACGTGCTGAAGAGAGTCGACATACCAGCAAAACTGTTTGACACTCGTACATTCTTTCCTTCATTCTGTCCTAACAGAACTCCAACCACTCTGCGCGTGCCTTTACTTTCTGACCGTCCATAATGATCTGCTGCTGAAAGTAATACCAGCGGCGCGACTGATACAGTTCTCGAAACGAGGGAGAGGGTTTCTGCCGTGGTAGCAGGCATGATGAATTTTGATTTGTAGAGGTTGGTTATTATAGAATAATGAGGGAACAATTGTTGACAAGGCTGATATTCTTAGGTATTCGCGGCCAGAGCTTGCCTGGCACCCGCTGCTTAGCTCCAAACCGAATCGAGACGTTATCACGTGTCACACAGCGGGCACTTTGATTAGCGGCGGGCGGAAGGGCGGGAGTCAGACTCGTAGTAAGGTACGATGAGGTGAATGTAAATTGTGGACAGGAAGGATAGATCGGATGTAGGATACCGCTCATCACAAGGTGGATGATACACACACAGTACTGTACGGGTAACTTGTGTCTTTCTGAGGAAATTATGAGATTTTGCTGCTGATGTAAGAATACTGGCCCGTATCATCAGAAAGAACCTCGGACGGACTTCACTTGGTAGCCACAGAAGGAGTTCCAGGAGCTTGAACTTCCAAATCGTATTGCCATGAACATACCTTTGTTAATGGTCCGGTCAAATATCTAACCAGACATACTTGAATATACTAAATAGCTACCGTAAAGATAAGACCTCACTCGGGTCCCTTATGGTATAAATGTCCATCGATTTCCCCTCGTGAAATATTTATATCTTCCTCTTCCTCTTCTTGTTGAGTGATTCCTGACTTGATACATTGAGGGGATATCCCGGTGAATTTTTCCGTCCCTCCGGTGGCCGCTCGGCAGAACAAGCTAGATTTACAGTGCTCTATACTCATTGTAACATTCCCATTCCCATTCCCTCGCGTTCAAGGCTTGCGAACCTTTTCCTTCTAACTCTCTCCACTCTACAATCTGTATATTTTGGTTTATTTCCATATCTTTGTTTCGTTTCCCTTCACTCCATTGATTCAAAATGGCACCAATTGGCGATGATGCCTCGCAGACCCTCCATGACTTGGTCAACAAACTCGAGTCGAGGGTCAAGGAGCTCGAAGACAAGCTTGCGCATGCGGCTGGTGGCCCAGCACCATCTCCTCCTGAGAGCGTCAGAATGATTCTTATGGGTCCTCCAGGTGCCGGTATGTATTCATGAGTTTTCTGGTCTTGCTATCGCATTGTGTAAGCACATGGGAGGTATCAGCTAAACTGTTTTGTACAGGCAAGGGAACTCAAGCGCCCAAGATCAAGGAGAAATTCTCATGCTGTCATTTGGTAAGCTATTCTACGTGCGGGGAAAAGGCAATGCTAATGCTAGTTTTAGGCTACTGGAGATATGTTGCGATCACAAGTTGCGAAGAAGACACCACTGGGCCGGGAAGCCAAGAAGATTATGGATCAAGGTGGTCTCGTCAGCGATGAAATCGTTATTGGCATGATCAAGGCCGAACTTGAGGGCAACTCAGAGTGCAAGGGAGGGTAAGTGCTGTCGGAGATTACAATAGAGAAAAGCTCGTTCTGACGTGAAACATAGATTCATTCTTGATGGTTTCCCACGTACAGTTGTGCAAGCAGAGCGCTTGGATGCCATGCTTGCAGAGCGCAACCAAAAGCTACAACACGCAGTTGAACTTCAAATTGACGATAGTCTTCTTGTATCCCGCATTACTGGACGTTTGGTGCACCCAGCCTCAGGCCGATCGTATCACAGAGTATTCAACCCACCTAAGACAGACATGAAGGACGATATCACTGGTGAACCATTGGTCTCAAGATCCGACGACAATGCCGAATCTTTGAAGAAAAGACTTGTTACCTACCACGCTCAAACTGCCCCTGTTGTTGGTTATTACCAAAAGACCGGAATCTGGAGTGGAATTGACGCTTCACAAGAGCCCGGCGCCGTTTGGAAGTCACTCTTGGGTGTATTTGACAAACAAAAGGGTGCCAACGGTTCGATACTTAGCAAAATTACCGGTCGCTCTTAGAATGACATTGGAATAAAGGTGATAAGTTAGCTTTGCATAGAGTTCTAAAAAGTTGTAATTGCATTTAAGTTAGTAGGCATAAGTGCAATCTTTCTGGAAGGAAGGCGTTTGTACAACCAAAGATATGCAATGGGGGCCATGTCAATCTAGAGGCTCTGTGTATTATATGCACCGCGTTTTCTCGCACTTGGAGATATTAGAAAGTGCTCAAATTGAATGAAGTCAATGAACAGTCTTTCACAGAAATAAGGTTAAAATCTTCTCACATTTTACAATCTCATTTGCCATGCATCCATTTCATTTTCCGCGGCGCCCTATGTTATTTTCCCTAAAGTAAACTGGCAAAGAACCCACGGTTTCCCATCATAAGGGGGCATGGGAAATGGTTGGGTGGTTGAAATTGGGTTGCATCCGCCGATAGATGGGTGTTACGGCTGCATGAAGCCGCGGAACACATGTGTAGCTGTAAACAATCTTTTCTTCGTGTTTTTCACCTGAAGATGACGCATTGCGGAAGTCCTTAAGGAAAGGATGGCTGTCTAGGTAAGAAAGTGTAAGAATGAATATATATGGTCATGTCAGCAGTTCTTGTGCAATATATCATTGAGTGAGAAACGCATTGAGGTATTTTGGAGGATTCCTCGGTAAAGAAAGGAGTATCTACAATAGAAAGAAAGGATTCATTAGATCGAGGTTCAACAGCTAAGCTGTGTGTCCCTTTTATGGACATTTGAGGTCAAGGAGGGTCGGAGGTTGGAAAGGCCGATGGTGTGTATGTTTTCTTCTGGTCTTCGACTTAATCTGTATCTCCATTGCTTTCTTTCAACAATGAAAATAAGTTGCTTTCTATAAGACTAGAAATTTGACTGACAATGATTGAATATAGAAAGAGTAGTCTGTCTGCTGTGGTGACTGATTATGCAAGAGAGTTGCATCATATGTATGAGGTATGCAATGTTCTAGAAGAGTGTTCATTATTTTTAGCTTCAAGAGGTCTTCGAGGGCAATTACTATACTAGGCTCTACTGTATCTGTATGAGAGGGAATCGAGAAGCAATGAGTATGAATACTAGTGTGTTCGTATGCAAAGCTTTAATCTAGAATGTTGTTTGGGCCGATGCTTTTTCGAGGTTTATTGGACGGGGATGATTACCCCTTTTGGAAAGACAACTCCAAAGCAAGATCGCTCTTTCCAACTGTAGTAAGCTGGGAGAGTTCGGACTTTCCATAATATGGAATTCAAGTAGCTTATAGTCATGTGGTATGTGTTCCAGTGTGTAGCTTGTTTCATCGAGTATCTTAGCTTCTTCATTTCCAATCTTGCAATCCTTTCATGGGACTTTGGAAGGAAAAGACAACTTTGACACCTGAAATACCACCATGAGATTAAGAGTGTCATCTTGAATTCTTCATTGTTCTTTGGCAGGGGATCAGTTCAAAACTACTTCTAAAAAGTTGCCACTGTGATCAACAAGGTACATTGAGTGTTCATGTCATTGCTCGAGGATGTTGGAGGAACTTTTTTTCATTGCCATGCCCACCTGAATGTCCTGTCTTAGTTTACTTCTCACCTCTTCTTGTTTTGAACCTCCAACATTATATCTGTTCACCGTTCTCTATTTTGATTGGTTTCCCAATATTGTATCGAACACAATCTGATCATTGGAGGCAGTGGATTAGAACCTTCAACGACAAGGTACCTCAGGTCAACTCCTCGTTGCCTTTACATTACTTCAAGATTGTACATTCGACCTTTTTTAACCCCTCATCCTATACTCTTCTCCAATACATACCTCCACGTCGGCTGTTATCTGATAGTATTGCCGTGTTTGGCATCAACACGGTTTAGCTTCCTTTTCCACCAGCCGCGTTCATCCTCTCAAATCTTCAATTTCGACAAGCAGATTTGTTCTCCCACAACACCTCTCTAGATTGAACCCAACGGTTTTTTTTAATTGTGATCTCACTTGTGACTTTTTCTTCTTTATTACCAAAAGATCACGGCTATCCGTACAATTGATACGTCAAGAATATCTCGAAGAGTGTAAGTCTCCTCCTACCCCCCAGTTTCTCCAAAATTTGTGTTCTGGTTTTGGCCACCGTTACCACCATTACCTCCACCTCCACTATAGTTTCTTGGTATTTATCAAGAACAGCACAAAGCTAAACATAACACATGTGGATATACCATCCTATTCCCTCAGGTTCATTTTTAATTGGCCTGGCATACTGAAGCATAGCATTAGATCATATCTCCTCTTTTTCGATCCGACTCGAACTTTCAAATCGAATTTTTCGGTATGTGAGCTCTCTCTCGGTCTTAACCCTAAGGGACCATGGTCATGCGCCTCAAACACATCTGATACTATATTAGTCCATTAACCAATACCACAAAGTACAAGTTTTCATCATGGCGCAAGTTATGATGCCGGTATGTGGCTCTCCATCCTCTGCGCGACACCTCAAGTTAATAACCAAAAAATTAGATGACACCATTCAATCGTGAGTATCTTTATCACCCAAATTATTTACAATCATATCAACACTTCTTAATATTCGAGTTTTGCAATACCAGCAAAACAGATCTAATATTGTCATAGAAAATGAGAATGGCACTCCCCCTCGTCCCTTGAGTAGACGCAAGAAGAGAGAAGCCGAAGCCGTAGAAGCAGCCGCCGTTGTCCTATCTGAAGATCGCAGACGCGCTCTCGAAGCTACCTACAACGGAGCTAATGCTGGCGAGGCCCGCGAGAAACTCCTTCAAAATCCAGCAATGTCACTTGGACCTGGTCTTCATCTGCCATCTACTGAGGTGAGCATGAGTGTATTTGCTATGCATTTGCTATGGTAGTGACCCAGACTTACAACTATATCTACTTAGGATAAGACATATAACCTACTCACCCATTTTCGTGTTCCTGGACCTGAACTCGTCAACAAGAGCGTCCCCAGCTGTGGCTTGCCATCAGGCTGGTCTGACAAGCACGACCGTTGCATTGCGTATCTGTCTACTCATGCTCCGTTGCTTCAAGGCAAAGTTCCCAAGCAAGAGGCACTTCAACCTCGGTACACAACACGTGAAACATCCTCCTTCATATTGAAGCGATTTCCGGAGCTATGCGGCCATGTGAGTTCGCAACATACCATCACAAGTCTGGATTTCAGCTGACCTTACATAGCGTATTAAGGAGTCAATTATTGAGCTACGTCTGGAACTCCTCGACCGCTCTGAAAACTCTTATTTCAGTATTGAATATGGTGGTTATAGTGATCATGAGTGGGCTCGAGGCATCTGAGGGAGTATCTTATTCGAATTCCAATCTGCTACTAGATGTGCTGTAACTGAGGTATGAACGCTCTATATACATTGCTCGTCGCGGCTGACTTGTCCTTTAGAGCTTCTCGCAATACGCTCTGCTAAGGAAGCGTCTCTTTTATTTGCGCAATACTCCTTGTACAGCTTTGGGTTTGGATGGAAAAATGCTATTTTGCTACGATAATGACTCAAGATACTACATAATTGTTTTTATGGTTTACGATTTCCTGCATTGTCAGATAAATTATGAATTATCTCTCAGGGTGTCTCTTCTCTATCTATGAATTTATGCGGCGGTGCTTTGAATTTCATGCAAGTTCTGAGATTATTGATTGATCATCTTTTAAGATGTCTTTCTGCTTTCTTTTAGAGAGTTTCGATACATGCCGTACGGGGCCCCTGTACTAGATTTACCTAAGCTCATTGATTTCTAACGTATCAAGTCTTGACTTTGAGCTTACAGTGATTGTGATATGTAACTCATTTTTGAGCTTGTGATGAATATCTTAGTATCTCTTCTCGTGATTCATGCCTGCTTTTGCTTCATCCTCTCGCAGCAATCTAGTCCCACGATCAGGCCAGATGTATCTGGGCTTCATAACTCACTTGATAGTCCGATTAGCGGCTCGAAAGTTGAACAATGTTCAGACTTGGACATCTACTATAAAATTTCATTCTGCAGTGTAAGTTGTCTTGTTCATTGAGTGAGCATCCATACCATGATAGAGTACAGCTTGAATACATACGGTTCCTACATATATAGAAGCCCCCCTTCTCAACTATCCATCTCTATGAGATCCTTCCCCTCCAGAAGAAAGTGAGGCCCCAGCATTCACAGTTATCTAGAGTTTATGGGATACTTGATACTTGATATTATAATTCAATATACTGTCATCTTATTATGTGGATCTATCTTCTGATTTTATAACCTGACCTCATACATGATATATCTAAGATAATTAGGTTGTGTCTATACTAATTCATCTATCCTCACCTGGATATCTCGGTGCAGAGCAGAGCAGAGTATACAAGAGCAGGATAAGGCAGAGCAAATAAACTCAACAGTTTGAATAACTGAGATTTCTTCTATCCTTCATGTATCATATCAGTTCACATCATCTTTTGGTTAGTTTTGGATTGATAGTTTAGTTCACATTATATTCAAAAAACATGAATCACTCAGTTCGCGTTAAAAGCAGAATGTCATACGTATTTCGAAAGGGGGTAAAATGCGTTTTATCATTCATATCTTATTCGCTATACAGAAATCATTTAATATTCATTTGATTATCATCGCTGTTGGATTTATTGTCATATATAATCGTCTAAACTAAAATCGCCTAGAGAGAGAAAAGAATCGAAACACAATAGCTCGCATAAAGTACAGTGAGTGTAACGACACAAGTATCAAGAAGTTAGAGATAATGCTTCTGAAGTAGGAAAAAATTATAGTTCATTTTTTCGCTCCATGTTCCGTAAGTAGTGCAGACAATGCAGAGTAAGAGCTGTGTGTATAGTCTACAAGTATTGATCTCGTCGGCGTTTGTTTTCTTTTCATATCCATCACCAAACCTATCCTTCATCACCTATCACCAATCCCTTTGTGCCCACCAAAACATCATGAGCAATTCATGAAATTGCATTGCGTGTCATCATCACATTCATCTATATTTTTATCTTGCGC